ACCCACACTCACCCACCCCTTTGCCGCCGCCACGCGAACCGATGCATCATCGCCCACACCCCCTCCCGCCACACCACCAACACCAACACCGCCGCCATCACCGCCATCATCATCATCATCACCACTGCCACCGCCTCCACCGCCTCTACCTCCACCTCCTACACCTACTCCAACACGCTGCACTTCCATTTACCGTGGCCCCCCCCTCTACCCCCGTCCAAAACAAATCCTCCCACGCCCTGTCACTCGCTCACCTTCCCCCCCCTCCCAGCTCACACACCCCTCTTACTCACAAACCCCCCCCCAGCTCACCGTATCCAACTACCGCTCAGCACGCCGATTGCACGAGAGAGAAAAAAAAATGAACCACCTCGACCCCCATCGACTTCCGTAATGAGGGCGATGCGCGGCTCTCTCTGTGCGCCCCGCGCCACTCACACAGTACACCTATGCTCACTCGGCTGTTTTGTTCTCGAATGCTTTGGAAGGCGATCGCACCCGCTGAGTCGCGCCCATGCAGCTTGTTTTTCCCAGGAGGTTGCACGCCCACGCCCACGCCCACGCCCACGCCCACACGCCCACACACCCACACAGGCAGCCAGGCACGGAACCTGTGCTCCTTCTTCTCTTGGGCCAGCGCCACGTCTGCCTGCTGGCTGCTGCGCGCCGTCAGACGCGTCGCCCTGGCACACAGACTACCGGAACCCTCGCAGCCTTCCGCGCCTCCAAACCCACGGATCCTCTGCACGTAGCCGTCTGCACTCTCGTTCCATGTACCAGCCATCCATCCATCCATCCATCCATCCATGGACCTATCCACCCCCATCGACCCATCGTATCCTGCTGCTCTGGCAACCATTTGACCGGTGCCCGCGCACCCGCTCCCTCGTTTCCGCCTGCGTCAGGTCGCCGTCGCCGCCGCCGCGACGTGCCTCGGGTATAGAGGCGGCCATGGCCTGCGTGTGCTCATTTAGGCTTATTCCGCACCGCTTGTTGTCTACACATTGGCCAGAATGCTGCCGTTATGCCACTGGCTGCTAAATTCGCTGGCTGCAGCCCTCGTGATTGGCTGCAACCCCAAAGGCTCCCCTTGTCCATAGTGGGTGGACCAGGGGCTGAAGCACCTCACTTAGCCTGAGACAAGTACCCAGGGCATCCTGCCCTATCTTTTTTCCAGGTGGAAAACAAGCCGACAGCCACGCGACGCCGCCTGTGGGTTGCATGCCGTTTGCATAGCCGATAATGTTTGCTGCCACGCCTTCAGTCACCATGACGCTCGCTCTGCTCCAGGCACATGGAGTCGCATCCTGCCCACGTCGACCGTGGCCTGCTGAAACCTGCCTCGCGAGCCTTGGACGCCGGCATGGGGGGGTGGTGGGCAGGGCAGGGCAGGGCAGGGAGGACAGGGCGAGAGGTCTCAAAACCTTGTGATCTCCAGCCCATGCTCGCTCGTCCATGTAAGTACGCCATGTGCCCAGCCATGCCCGACAGGCTGGCTGGCTGGCTGGCTGTTTGCCTACTGACTAACGGATGGGCTGATGGCATGCACGCATACCATGTGCCATGTCCCAAGTGCAAGTGTGCAGTCCAGCCTGACGCTCGCCCCCTCGCTACATGGCAGGGTCCATTGGGGCGCCGCCGCCTGCCGTTGCATCAGTCGGCGGCGGCGCAGCGCACCTGAAGCACGACACGACTGCAAGGAAGAACGAGCAAACGGTTCTTGCTAGCAGCGCGGTCGCTGGCAGGCGAGGCCAAAGTTGACAGGCGCACTGGGCTGGCGCCACGGGCCCCGTCGACGGAGAAGTTTGTCGAAATTATGATGGCACGCTGAGGGCTTGCGGGGAGGTGGGAAGGTGGGCCCGAACGGCTGTTGGCACGCCCGCTTTGGGCGCGCTACTGCACAGCGTGCAGCGGAAGTCCATGTTGGTGGAAGCGAGGCCAGGGCCGCTTTCTCGAAAAGGATCAACAGCTGCAAAGACAACCCTGCCAACACGTGGAACACCTTTGTGCTGTGGATCTTCGCCTGACTACTGGAAGTGCGCCCGCAAGCCGCGTCGCCGAAACTCTGTGCCACTGACTCCTGGCCGCCGCCGTGCGTGTGCGCCTGGATCAACTTTACGCCGTCAGAAAGGAGAAATTCCGCCTGCGCCTGCGCCTGCGCCTGCCCGGCCACTGACAAGGCCCGCTCGACTGAATTAGCCGGTGGAGCCCACGCCCACGTCAGGACACATGGCTTCATTCTCCATAATATAGAGGCTGACCTGGCGCTCCCTCTCCTCCTCACGCTGCTCGCTCGCCCCATTCGGCCCTAATCCTCTAATCCGCAAACGGCTCACCATCGTCTCAAAGCAGGCAAGACGCTGTCTTTGTCCTCCCTCATGCTAGCCCCTCCTCCTACAAGCAATCACACACACACACACACATGCTTTGTCTCGGACCTGCGCAAACTCTCCCCGGCGCCCGCTTGGGAGCGATCGGCAGGGATTGCCTTCACCTCTGCACCTAACCCTTGTGATCTCCTCGCACCGGCACTGGCGCCCAATCCCACCACTCGTCGACTTGCATTTGGGCTGCACAATGCCACCACGCCTCCGATCGTGTACCCTGTCGCCCGGTAGCCCTGTAGCATTTCGCGTGCCAGTCCCGCAATACTGTCACGACTCGATCGTTTGTCGCACCATGCGAAATTTCCTCTGTCGATCTCGACGATACTATTTGCTCCGGGGCTATTCGGTACGTGTAGGGGCACAGTAGGTTAGTGGCCTAAACCTTGCCTGTCACCCCCCCCCCTCCTCTAGAAGCCTATCTGTGTCATCCTCTTATGATTATTACCCTGGAATTTTATCAATCCTGCCTCCAGCCACTGATTAGCAAACGCGCCTCATCAAAAGCAAAAGCAAAAAAACAGAAAAAAGGCTCCTACTAGTAGCATCTTGGTCTTCGCAAAGTGCAGCCGTCGGGCGCCACTCCGCCTGCAAGCCACATGCACATGTAGCTGTACAATCTTGGAAAAAAGCCTTTACAGATCCAAGCCTACCAAGTATCGCCATGTACGCTTGTCTCTCTTCTTCTTCTTCTTCTTCTTCTTCTTCTTCTTCTTCTCGTCATGCCTAAAATTAGCACCTTCTCCGCGTCCACAGGGAACGCCAATTGTCAGGTTGCGAGCTGTATCCTCGATGGCGCACACGATTCTTGGTACACACGCCATTTAGCTTTGTGACGCGGTGCATGCAACCTGCAGGTCGGTGGCTTGCTCGCGTTATCGACAGCTTTGGCCGTGGCCAAGGTTGCAGGTTGCAGGTTGCAAAAAGTGAGCTGACTGCACTACCCTCGTCGCTGCTGCTGACTACCGAGATACTCGTCATAGCTACCCCATTCTACTACTTGCTTACACGTTCGTATCTCAAGGGTTCTACTAGCAGCTACATGCAAGTGAGCTTTAACCCCAATTCGGCACAGTCATGGACACGAATACGTAGGCACTTTCTCAAAAGGTACCCTGGCCTGCACTGACGCGCTATCAGAATGGTAAATTAGATTCATCCATGCCTGGGGGCCATGGCAATGTAGTAAGTATGACCTCGGTCACCGTGGTGCTGGCGACCAAGAAGAGAAAAAAATAGCCCATCCCAAGTACCTAGACCCAAGCAACGCGCAATCCCCGCTTCGCCACCCTCGCTCGTCACCCCTCACCCCAGCCAGGTAACATGCTGTCACACATGCGGTAACATGCTGTGTAAGATTATAGTACCATGTCAGACGCACACAAAGCCCGCTTTGCCCACATGGTCGAACATGTGTTCCTCGCACAACGACCGCAACCTTGATTGTGTCCGACCGAACCCATTCGGACAACCTGCTCTTGTGACTGGATGCCCGCTCCCCGAAGCTTTACTTTGCAGCAGCAGCTTCGTATTGTGCATACATGTATGTACTACATACGTATCACAACGCTATCCAAACCTAGTCCATGGCTACCACCCCGGCAACCCAGTCGTCGGATGTTGATTCCGAGTTTCCCATAGCAAAGGGCCCCCCACCTTCCCCCGTCTGACAGGGCCACGCCATCATCCCTGGCGTGTGTGTGTGTCGTGTGTGGTGTCGCCTCTTCCGAGCGTCGGGTATGTGCTTGCTGACTGGTATGATTATTCTCCCGCTCATCCGCCTGCCTGCCTCGCAGAAAATCGGCCATGATACCTCACCTTTTTCGATTGAGTTGCCGTGCCGTGTTTCAACCAGGTAGCCAAGCATGGGTTATCAGTGTGCTACCACATGCATGCATGCACACAAGCAACATATAGTTTTTCATCCAATAAATATCCGTAACTTTGATCCAAACACCCGTAACTCTGATGTAAACATCCGCAACTTTGATTTTTTGGGTGATAAACCCAAGTCACAGCCCCGCTAGCCTTGAACAAGGTAGCCTCTGTGCATAGTAACCTTAGCATGTCGTCATGCATGTTGTGAATACGGCCATGAATATGCACCCACATGCTTTTGGATGCCTTTTTTTCACTTCATCTATCTGTCCGACTGCCGTTTTTTGGTTTGGAGCTAGTTCCCAAGGCCCATTTGCCTTGTTGGTTGATCATTGTTTTTGGCCTTGATTTTGTCTTTGTGCCGTTTACGGCGGTTCATTATCGATCTATGTATTGAATGCATATCCAAAGCGAGTTCAGCAAAAGTTTGATTAGGACATTTTATTCCTCAGAGTTATGTCATGCATATGTTTGGGGAAGAAAAAATGACAGAAGAAAGGGATGAAGAAATAAAGGGTGTTATACACGAGAGTTGGTTACTTGAGAAAGAAAAAAAAACTTGAATTCGTAAAGAGTGTCAAGGACGATTTTGGATCTTGCCTAGATGAAATTTAATTACAGTGTACATGACATCGAGCCATGCAGAGAAGACATTAAACGTTTCACCCGTCACCTTCTTCTCTTGGTCTTGCATGGTTACATCAAAGTGAACTGCAAGGGCTCTCTCTTGGGGTTTTTTTTTTTTTTTTTTGTCAAAGTCTATACCTAGTTGGAGAAAATGTGACAAAAACGAATCACTAATACTACAAAGTTCGTCCATGATTTGAAGTGAATTTTTTCTTTTATCGAGTGTAGAAAACGTGTTGAATTAGCCCACTTGAAAATTCAGGATATATATATATATATATATCGCTCACTCGAAAATGAGAATAATATTTCATGTCATGTGCAACTCATCTACTTACCTCTACCGAATAACATGTTGGTGAGAGAATCTCTCGAAAGAAAAAAAACACAGAGGATCCAGTTTGGTCCAGACAAAGCCCATCTTGATGGAGAGCTTAGGACAACATGCCACACGAGCAACTCTGAAACTGATAACATATATGTTCTACCCCAAAAATATATGGTGTAAGCAACTCACGCCTAACATGCTCGTGTGAATGAACGCTATTTACGCAAAAGAAAACAGAAGATGATATACAAGAAACAACATTTTGTTACTGGATATGCTACAAGACAGCCACGTCGCTCAAAATGATCAATGGTATTGAGTACATACATAGGAAAATCTACAAAAAACCACTACAGCCTAGCATCCCACAAAACGTCTACCCGCGCCGTGCATGTTGAAGACTAAAGACCCACCCACCAATATACAATACATCAAGACTCTCGCCATACCCTGCCTTGACCTTTCTGCTATATTTCCCATTACTTTGAGCAGAGGCCGTGGCTACGCTCATTTCTCGTCCGTGTCGTCGCCATCATCATCATCATCATCATCAGACTTGGCTGGCACAGTCTCCATTTCCACCTCGCCCTGCACCTCGCCCTTCTTGTTCTTGGTGGTAATCTTGTACTTGCCACCATCCCAAAGATCCTTGAAGGTGATTTCCTTGGTACGACCGAGCGACTCGATATCTCCGATGCGATCCAGCGTTGCTTCTAGGAACTTTTCAAATCCGGGTTCCGAGCAAATCTCGTTGAAAGCACGCTGCATGGGAACCGAGTCGGCGCGAACAACGGCATGCGAGTCGATGGAGAAGATGGATAGATCATGATGTTGGCGAATAAAATCGGAGCGAGTCATAATGTAGCGTGCCCGGTGCAGCGGTATACAAGGGAGAATATGACCTTCTTTGGGATCGTAGTTGGTGTCCATCTCTTTCCAGCCCTTGTAGAGAGCATAGGCTAAGACCATGGCAGTAGACTGTTTTCCCATTAGTATCAGACAGCCAATGCCATGGCTGAACATGACATACCGCATACTTTTGTTGATCCATGACATCGTCGTCCATTTCCGCGCCGAGAATGGCACAGTTGTTCAAGAACCAAATCCTTTCCATTTCACAAATGTGGTCGCATTTGGCAATCATGTTCTCGGATTTCGCGACACGGTTGAGAAAGGTGAGACGGCCGCCTATCTTGTCGTAGACCTCCTCGAGGATGGATTCCTTTACCCTCTCACCATAGTACTTCATACGGTAGTTTCTCAGAGCTTGCATAGCGCGGTCTTTGGAGAGGTCTTTGATTTGGTGTACCTCCATGCGCGTGGCATATTGCTTGAGCCGCTCAAAGACCCAGTACTTGTCCGAGTTGATAATGACAGTTGCAAGATTGGAGGCGGCCCATTGCTCAGCACGTTGTTGGATTAGCTCAAGGAGATCCCTGCCATCCTCGTCATCCCTGATCAGATGGGCCGAGTTGATGATCAGAATCAGTGGCCGGCCAACTGTCGCGCGGCGCTTCAGGGCCACCTTTTCCAGCTTGTTGAAGGCGCGCTCAATGTCGAGAATGGGGCCGGCATCACGTGGTCCACGAATAGAGAAGAGTGACCCGATATTGTCCTCGTGGTATTCAAAATCAAGGCATCGGCCTAGGCGGACACGGAAGACCTCGAGGTCAGCATGGGCTTCCATCATGGAGCATCCTTCGCCATGGATTTTATCCATGGCGTCGATCAGCATAGACGTCTTGCCCGTTCCCTTTTCCCCAATCAGCAGATGGTAGCGCCCCTTGGTTTCACCCCAGACGATTTTGTCAATCTTCTCCTGCTCATCACGTGGGATCCACCGATCATAGTGTTCATCATCACCATCGACGCTGTCTTTGGTGGCTTGAAGCCGGGTGGGCTCTCCGGCTTTGGGCATTTCCTTGCCGCTTGCTGCAAGCTCCAGCACGGGATCGCCAGGGCGAAAGGCATTCTCCATCTTTTCGAGGACATTCCACTTGTAGTACTTGGTATATCCAATGCCCACGCAGCCCAGGATGAAGATGCTCGCTCCGGTTGTGGCAGCGGCCTCGAACATTTTCCAGGCGGTGCCTCGCCATGCACTCTTTTTGGCTTCGCGCTTGCTGTCTTTTTCTTCTTCCTCTTCCTCTTCCTCCAGGCGCTCAGCCGCATCGTCGACGGGATTGGGCGCCTCGTTGCCAGGAGCAGGAGGGCCCGACTGGCCACTCAGAGCGCGGGCCAACCGAGGCTGACATAATCGGGTCCTCGGCAGCAGGCCAGCCTGCGGAGACGGGTATGCGAACGACAGTCGCCGGGACGCGACGGGGAAACGCGTTGTTTTGGCCCTCAGCAAGGGCCGTAGCATTAGCATTATTACAGCGGCTGTCGGCGGCGCGGGGGGTCGCGTGCGTGCGTGGGCAGCCAGGTATCAAACGCTGGTGCCGCTCAAGCGCGCGCTTCCAGGCCACTGGACGAAGGAAAGCGAAAAGAATGACTGGCGAGATGGGCGAAGACAAGGATGGATGAAGAACGAGCAAGTGAGTGAATGAAATGAATGAACAAATGAGTGAATGAATGCGGCGGACGACAGGACGGGGCAACGGCGCAAAAGGGCGGGACGCTGTAATAGCGGGCCGAGTGCGTGCGCCAAGGCCTGAGGCAGTGCAGCAGCAAGCAAGTATCTAAGTATGGGTACTGTTGCGGTGGCGGCACATGTCAACTACACACGCCCAGGAGCAAATGAGCCATGTCAAGCACGTCCATGGTGGCATTCAGTAAACAAATACACGGAGCGAGTGGGCGAGGGTACGTAGGACAGGATCAGTACGTACATATGGCAGGGCATCCGTAGCCGACGACCCCACCACGTCCACGCCGTCGGCTGTGGGCAGGGCGCAGCAGAGCACGAGGGCACAGCAGACGAGGCGCCTTCTGCCCACCGGCACGGCCAATGCCTGCGCAAGACGCGCGAGTCGGCGCGGCGGCATGGATGGACAGATGCGGGCGGTGGTGTGCGTCTTGCAAAGTGGAGTGCAGCGCAGGCTTAGCGGACCATCCCGGCCCTCTTGAGAAAAATATTCTGGAGACATGACCGACCAGCTCCCCGCCTCCTCCTCCCTTTCTCCTACACCTCAACGCATGCCGTTGCCAGTCAATGCCTTCATCCTGCAATTGCCACTGATCGCCTAGACCAATTCCTTGCCTGCACAGTCGTCCTCTGCCCGGGCCCTGGCGCTCCTCGAACAAGCCCCGCCAACCATGGCCGCCAGCACAAACGACGCCAACAAGGCCACGGCCGAAGCCGCCCCAGTCGACACGGCGCCTGGCAGCGAGCAGACGCCTCCCGGTCCGGCGGATGGCCCAGAGCACGAAGACGGGGCCAATGGCCAGCAGCCAGACAGTAGGTGCCCTTCGCGGCCCGCCATGGCCCGCGCAAGACGGACAGAGAAAGACAAGAAAAAAAACTAATGACGACAAGACATCATGCAGGTCACCATCAAGCTGCCCCACGAGCCCTTCGAGATGCCCATGACCATCTCGACGGCCGAGCAGGTGCAGGATCTCCGCCAGTCCATCATCGAGATGCCGCACACGTTCCAGTACTCGTGCTTCCACCTCGAGCACAACGGCGAGCGCATCAACGACTATGTCGAGCTGTCCGAGGTCAGGGACCTGAAGCCCAACTCGGTCCTGACTCTGGTCGAGGATCCATACACGGAGAAGGAAGCCCGGCTCCATGTCGTGCGCGTGCGCGAGCTCATTGGAGCGGCGGGCGACCGAACCGATGCGCTGCACGGCCTCATGGCCGGTCTTTCGCTGCACGACACCGTGGGCCATGAGCACATCCTGAAGCCCAAGCAAGACGGCCCCGAGCAGTCGCCCTTGGCCGACTACGACTTCAAGTCTACTGGAGCCGTCAAGAACCTGCTTCCCCCGCCCCCAGAAGCCGCCCCCAAGACCATCAAGTCCATTGCCGTCTCGCCCTGGAACCCTCCCCCGTACCACCTCCGCTCCAAGGGCCACCTGCTGTATCTTGTAGTTACCACCAATGAGAATGAGCAGCATCACATCACCAGCCATGTCTCGGGCTTCTACGTCAACAAGTCGTCCAACGCCAGCTTCGACCCCTTCCCGCGCCAGGCGCCAAAGGACAAGCGCGCCCACTCTCTCCTGACGCTGCTCGAAGAGCTTTCGCCCTCTTTCCGCACCACGTTCCCGGAACTGCTGGAGCACAATGCGAAGAAGGAACTGCTTACCATCTTCCAGCTCTCCAATGCCATCCCCGCGAACCCATGGCTTGTTCCTGCGCCAACTTCCGCGCTTACTCCACACCAGCCAGATCTCGCCCGAACACAAGAGAGCTACTTGATTTCGGGTGTCGAGAACACCGAGACTCTCCGCGACTGGAACGAGGAGTTCCAGTCCACCCGCGAGATGCCCAAGGAGGCTGTCCACGACCGCGTTTTCCGCGAGCGCCTCACTTCGAAGCTCTTTGCCGACTACAACGATGCCGCCACTCGTGGCGCCATGTTGGTCGCTCGCGGAGAGATTGCACCTCTGAACCCCACAGAGGCCAAGGATGCGCAAATTTTCGTCTACAACAACATCTTCTACTCGTTTGGTGCTGATGGTGTGGGCACGTTTGGCGCCGAAGGCGGCGATGAAGCAGCGCGTGTTGCTGTGGGCAAAGACGTATTTGGTGTGCGTGCTGTCAACAACCTCGACATCCCCAACCTCTTCACCTCGGGAACCGTCGTTGTCGACTACCAAGGCAAGCGCATTGTGGGCCAGAGTATCGTCCCTGGTATCTTCAAACAGCGCGATCCTGGTGAGCACCAGATCGATTACGGTGCGGTCGAGGGCAAGGAAATCGTAGCAGATGACAAGTCCTTCGTCCCCCTCTTTGAACAGCTATCCAAGGCTCTGCGTGTCAAGAGACATCCAGTCTGGGACAAGGACAATGTTCGCCACGAGCTGGAGGGCAGTGTCGAGACCAAGGGCTTGATCGGTACTGATGGTAGGCGGTACGCATTGGATCTGTACCGCCTCACCCCGCTCGATATCTCGTGGATCGAGGCATACTGGACTGAGCCTGCGGAGGAGGGCGAGTCAAAGCCGAAAGACAAGGACTACCCCCACCGAATGGCCACACTTCGTCCGGAGCTTGTTGAGTCTTATGGTAGACTCAAGCTGCGCGAATACGTCAAGAATGAGCTTGCCAAAAAGGCCGAAAGTTCGGCCAAGAAGGAAGCCGAGGATGAGGAGAGCGAGGAAGAGGAGTCTGAAGAGGAAGAAGAGTCCGACGAGTCCGACGACTCTGAGGAAGAAGGAGAAGGAGCCGAAAAGAAGCCCGAGACCAAGAAGTTGACCAAGGAACAGAAGAAGGCTGCCAAGAAGGCCGCAAAGAAGAAGCCTGATGGTGAGGATGCCGAGCAAGAGCGTGTCGACATCTCCGGCTTCTCCTTTGCCCTCAACCCCGACGTTTTCTCGGGCCAAAACCCTCAGTCTGAAGAAGACAAGAAGGAGTGGGCTCAGGATGAGGCTGAAGTCCGCGCTGCTTGTGAACACCTCACATCCGAGGTCATTCCTCGCCTGATCACAGAGCTCAAAGATGGCGAAGTTGGTTTCCCAATGGACGGACAGTCTTTGAGCAACCTCTTGCATAAGCGGGGTGTAAACATCCGCTACCTTGGAAGGCTTGCAGAGTTGGCTGACCAGCCCGACCCCCGGCTCCAGGCTTTGAAGCGTCTCCTTGTGCAAGAGATGGTTGCACGTGGTTTCAAGCACTTTGCCAACTCCAAGCTGCGCAATGTGCCCGCACCATTTGCTGCGTCCGCCGCTGCGCATCTCCTCAACTGCCTTCTAGGGGCTGATGTGAGCGCCAAGCCCGTGCCCGAGTATGATACTAGCCTCAAGGCAATGTACACCAACGCCGACTTTAGCTTCGAGAAGCTCACACCAGAGACTCTCAAGACGGAGGTCGTTGCTCAGGTCGCTCTCCGATACCGGTATGACCTGGGCCAGTCATGGGTCGAGTCTGGCAGGGAGCTGCAAATGCTTCGTGAAGTCTCGCTCAAGTTGGGATTGCAGTTGGAGAGCAAGCAATACGCCTTCACCAAGGATGCCTTTGCCGCCAGTGCCCCGGCTGAGAAGCCGGCTCCACCGCAGACCAATGGCCAGACCGCATCTTCCAGCAAAAAGAAGAAGAACAAGAGTACACCGCCCGCGCGTACAGCTAGCCCCACTGTGAGCCTTCCACCACAGACATTCCATGCAGATGACATTTTGAACATTGTCCCTGTCATCAAGGAGGCTTCGCCAAAGAGCCTGTTGGCCGACGAGGCACTCGAAGCCGGCCGCATGTCTGTTGCTCAGGACCAAAAGGAGCTCGGACAGGAGTTGCTTCTGGAGTCGCTGCAGCTGCACGAACAGATCTACGGTGTACTTCACCCCGAGGTAGCCAAGGCCTATCACACATTGTCTAACCTGCTCTTCAACCTTGAAGACAAGGTCTCGGCTTTGGAGCTTGCACACAAGGCCGTAATTGTGTCTGAGCGCACTCTTGGTGTTGATCACGCTGACACCCTACTTGCTTACCTAAACCTGGGTTTGTTTGAGCATGCGTCGGGTAACACCAAGGCTGCTCTCGTGTATCTGCGTCATGCTCTTGAGCTGTGGAAGATCATCTACGGACCTGACCATCCTGACTCGATCACAACACTGAACAACGCGGCTGTGATGCTGCAATCCATGAAGCAGTACCACGAGTCTCGCATCTGGTTTGAAGCATCTCTCGCCATCTGCGAAGAAGTATCAGGAAAGAACTCCATCAACACGGCTACTTTGCTCTTCCAGACTGCTCAGGCCCTTGCACTCGACAAGGACATGCGTGGCGGTGTCAACCGCATGCGTGAGTCGTATAACATTTTCAAGGAGGTCCTCGGCCCCGAAGACCGCAACACCAAGGAAGCTGAAAGCTGGCTGGAGCAGCTCACTCAGAGTGCTGTTTCCCAAGCCAAACAGCTCAACGACCTTGCCAAGGGACGCATTCGTGCTATGCAGCTCCCCGGTCGCAACCCTCTCCGCCCTGCTGCTGCTGCGCCTTCGGCCAAAGATGCTGCAGCTGCCTCAGGCGGTCAGCGAAGCGGAAGCAGCCGTGTTGATCAGCGCAAGATTGAGGACCTTTTGAAGTACATTGAGGGAGACATACAAAAGACTCCATCGAAGAAGAAGACGCAGGCGAATCCCAGGAAGAGGACAAAGTAGACTTGAGCAGTCGATCCTTTGTGACATTCTCGCCAAGGAAAATGAGACGCTAAAAGCATCCGCCATTCGCAGCTTGGCTCGGTCTCCACGAACATTGGCCCTGAATTTGCGACGCTCGCGTGATACAGCACCAGTGGCTCTGTGTTGTTTGGGTTCTGTTCATGTTCAGCCTTGGGCATGGATTTGCATTCTTGGAGTTATCGGTTTGGGGTGTCTTTGGTGGGGAGTGGGACAGGTCTCTCGGTCAACATATCTTGTATATTGAGATAGATTGGGATGGAAAAAAAGGTAAGGAAAAATTGGCTATGTGTATACGCAGGCCGGACATGTGAACAGTGATGTATCAATGATGAATGACGAGCTGTATCAACTAGCAATACAAAATATCTCCTCTTTTACATTCGGTCTGATGCAGTGCTGTTGGTGGCTGTACTTGGTGCGTAGATGGATGCGTGCACCGGCCTCTGGTTTTGTTGGATATTAGTCTGTTGTTGCAGGATGGTTTGGGGGGGGGGCGTTATTAGTTACTAATGGGGGTTCGGTCAGTTTACCTCGGCATATGCAAGACCGCGACTCCGGAGTGCAATGGCCCGAGAAGAGGTTTTGGGACTGGCTCCCAAGCTCGAGGAGACAGCTACCCCACCACGGCAGAGAGGCAGACTTTGAGTGTTCTTTTTTTTTCTCTTCAATTCATCAACCCAAGGACACACTTTGTAGTTCCCGCGAATATTGAATTCACGCTTTAAAAAGAGACGAAAAGAAAAAAATATAGTTGAGGCGAGGGTAAAGAAAGATATGACATTGACAAACCAAGGACCGCGGCGAATCGGGCAATGGCTGTACCTCAAGGCCGAGTGTATAGAAGAGTACAAAAAGTGCCATGCAGCCGTGTGGCCCGAGGTACTGGAGCAGATCAAAGATTCGAATATAAGAGACTGTATGTATCCTACTGCGTTGTGAAAGGCGCTGCGTCGGCACGTCGAAATCACTCATGAAACAAATGAGGGGGGTAGTATGTGGGTGTTTTTGTTGAAAAGCAAGGGATATTGTGGAGAGAGAGAGAGAGAGAGAGAGAGAAAGATGCATACTATTACCCATGCATGTCATTCATGTAGGCACAAACAAAAAGAGAGAAAAGCAACAGATTTTACTAACAAGACAATGCTGATGATGATGTTGTAGACTCCATCTATCTCTCCCTATCACCCCGGCCAACGCTCTTCGCTTCGTTCAAATACATTGGCAATGCCTTTGACGCCGACATGGCGCGCATGGCGGCGAACAAAAAGGTGCAGGAATGGTGGGCCATGACGGACGGGATGCAAGAGTCGCCTGTGGATGGGGCAAAGGGGAGTGGGCAGGGGCCCGGGTGGTGGGGACAGACGGAGGAGGTATTTTATGTCGAGTAGGCTAGTGGGGGTGGAGGCACATTATCCAACCGAAGAGATGGTATCAGAATGAGTTATGGAAATTGATGGCAACAATGATCGCATGATGATGCCCTATGGAAATACAGGCTCAGCGCATCACATGTGAGTGAGTGAGAGACAGGGTGTGAGACGGAGATGATTGTTGCAAAAACAATAGGAGTAACAAGATTAAGAATAACATGGTTCCTCTGCCTTGCAGACTCCCAAGGAGAGTCGCCGCACATCGCAACCCCATGCCAAACGTGCTGCGCGTGCCTATATAGTTTTACAAGGGCTCGTAATCCGAGCTTGTGTCTCCCACCCAGCCGAACCACAGGGCAATGACGGTATTGGCAGCCACCCACACACCGGCATAGCCAACCGCGCCCAGGATATCAGTGCCCAGAAGCGTCATGCACCGCTGGACGGTGCCAATAAAGAGGAAGGCGTTCAGAATCAGTGTTTGCTGGATGAGGGTGCGCGTCCTCTTGGAGAAGTTGTAGAAATTGTACTCGATCGTCTGGGGGAGTGTGGCAGTGGCTGGGTCAAACGGCTCGGCCGGTGTCTGGTTGCCGGGGAGGGGCTGGGCGGCAAACGAGGGGTTGAGCAGGAAGGCCTTTGCGGCGAAACCAGCGACAAAGGTCTTGAGGACAATGGACAAGGGCGTCTCGAGGTGGGCGATTTCGAGCGTGGGAATGTCAAAGTACTGGACAAGGAAGGTGTTGAGGGAGCCCGTCTTCAGGGCGGCCCAGAGCAGCACAACATAGACGCCGGTGGCCAGCATGAAGCTCGAAAGCTGCACCTGGTAGCTGTTGAGCAAGAAGCGGTTGCGCAAGGGGGCATTGTTCTTGTGGGCGAGGGAGCGCGGGCGCAGCAGATACGTGGGGATGGCGAAGGACAGGACCTCGATGCAGACGTTGGCGGCGGCGGTCAAAGGCGAGATTTGGTAGAAGGTGGTGAGCAGGTAGGCAAAGGGCGCGTACGTGAGGACGACGAGGGCCGACACATCGTAGACTGTGCATGGACATGTTAGCGCGCGGCGCGTGCAGAGCATGGGCAGGCCTTACAGTCGTAGCTGAGGCCCCAGGCCATGCACACCGTCAGCCAGCGCATGGCGATACGCGCGGCGGGCGAGTACAGCGACGTGATGTCGTCGGCGGCGGGCACCTTGCTGATGGCGCCGAGCTCGGGGCTCAGGAAATTCGAGGCAAACTCCCACAGCAGCGCGTTGATGCCCATGTTCAGGCTGATGAGAATGGGCACGCGCAGCGCGGGCGGCAGACGCGACGAGGGCGCCGGCGCGTGTGACTGAGGGACGACATTGGGCGCGTCGCGCTCAATGACTTCTGTGGGTGCCATTGTGCGCCTGGAGACAGCGTGCGGGTCGGCAGCAGCTGTGGGCCAAGAGAAGAGGAGAGAGATGAAAGGAAAAAAAGAGAGGCGGCGTCGTGGGAGGCGGGGGATAGCTTTGGCGGGAGGGAGGCGGGGGGAGGGCGGGAAAGACAGGTGGTTGCTTCGTGAATGGAATGGGATGGGATGGGATGGGAGGGAGGAGTTTGTTTTGGCGACGTGCGTCATGCCCGTGTGGAGCGGGTGGAGCCACTAAGCATGTAGGTCATGGCTGCTTGGCATGCATCGCTCTGGGCCATCCCTGGGCAACATCACCGTGCTATCACGTATACATTAGGCGGGAGGCTGTTGCTGTCATCCTTGGCTACTCTTGCGCCATCTCCCCGCATATTTAACACGCCATCCATGTCCTCTGTGTCCGCACTCTCCGCCGGCCATGGCGTCCACCGTCTATCTCGTCCGCCACGCCGAGTCCGAGCACAACGTCTCGCAAGACTTCTCTCAACACGACCCGCCCTTGACCTCTCTCGGCCGCACCCAGGCTGCTCAACTCGTCACCACATTTCCCAGTCCCGAGCGCATCGCAGTCGTAGTTACATCCCCACTACGGCGTGCCATCCAGACGTCTTTGGCTGCATTCAGCCATGTGCTTGGCAAACAGTACTTCCCTCCCGCCTCGGGTCTTGGCATGGACAACGGCGCCGCCCTCGTTCTAGATGCAGACCTGCAAGAACGAAGCTCCATGCCTTGCGACACTGGCTCACACCCCTCAGTCTTGGACAAGGAGTTCCTCAACTTGGACCTGGGGCGCCTGCATGAGAACTGGGAGGCCAAACAAGGGCCGTACGCCCCAGACGATGAATCAGTGAGAGCGAGGGCAAAAAGGGCAAGAGCAACACTCGAGCAAATGGCAAAATCCTTCACCGGCAAGGAGAAGAAGGACATTGTTGTTGTCACACATGGCGTCTTCATGAAGTATCTGTCTGGCGACGACGACATCAATCTGCCCAAGGCTGGGTGGAAACCATATACATTCAAGATTGACGGCGAGGATAACGAGCAGACATTGTTACTATACGAGCACCCAGCAACTCAGTAGCACAATAAAGCTGGTCATTGGTGTGTGTGTACCCATATATTAATATATATGCATATAAAACAAGGTACACGATCAAGAATCGAAAAAAAAATCCAAAACAAGATACACAAAGTGTAGTTTGGAAACAAAATCTGTGAACGAGTTAGCCATCAGAACCCATAACAGGATTCGTTTTGAGAAAACAGCAGGGGAGCTACGTAATGGTACCTACAGTATCAATGTCCTTGTCAAACAATTGGTTTTCAACCCCGGCACTGCTGCTCTGGCAAGCAAGGTCGCTTGGGGACATCGCCGTTACGACGATTGGAATCGCGGTTGGGATCAGTCAACTGCGAATAATCGATATGTCCACTCTGAGGGGCAGCAGCGCACAAAAGAGAGCAGTGAATAGCTTCATGGCTGTGAGATGAGAAAGGGCAAATACAAAGAGTGTTGGAGAAGTGTATGAGTGACTAGAGATGTTGCAATGTGTGACTTGAATGAATTAAACAATACATCAGCGTGTGCACACATATATATATATATACACTTGAAGCTAGCCTTGCATACATATACACTTGAAGGTAGTACATGTGATTGGAAGACTCCGCGCCATTAAACAAAGTTACCCCGTAATAGGGCTGCGCTAGCGCTTATCGTTACAATAAATTTTAAGTATGGTCACCTGCATTGTTACATGCACCCCATCCCACTCGTCGTATGACTGTTACATGACAGCCACTTAGTGCTTCGAGACTACACAGCCATGTAAACAACCATGACAATACCTTGAATCCGAGGTCTCGGTATCAATATCCATGTGGTTTGGTCTTGTTCGAGGGACATGGGATCTATATCACTTTCTCCCTCATTCGCCCAAGTCCTAGCATGGTCTAATTCTCACCCTAATGTCTCTTGATTAAATCTTATGCGGTGCTGCTCCAGCGATCAGGGAATAGGCTCCCACATGTTACCATGTAGTCCAAAATCCATGCATATTAGCTCTGTTAATGCTGTGGATACATATTAATTCACGCATGTGTCATACAGAGATGGTGTAAAGCACCGGCGTTTCAAAGACTATGGTAACATCCACGGCCTTTCAATCGTTACCCTCGTCCTCATCTTGCTCATCAACAACCGGAGAAGCTTTCCTACCTCTACAACTACGCTTGCTTTTCTCTCTTCAACGAAACATATTTGCTTATCAACCTCCGCCTGCGTATGAGGACAGCCACTAGGACAACAAGGGCAGTGGACGGAACAGCAATGATGAAGTACCACTTGATAGATGGGTTATCCGCGAGAACATCGACATTCATGCCAAACATTCCCTAAGACAGATTAGCACCGAGTCCATGCCATCGGGTTTTCACTAACCGATATAGCTATCAAAGGAAAGAAGATGAACGTAATCCATGTAACTGCCCTCATTTGGGTATTGTAATTTTCTGCTGCCTGAGTGTTACGGACACTGATGATATTATATACCTTTCCAAGATGTTAACTTTGTATCCTTTGAACCCGCCCAATGGTATGGGACCAAATCCGGTAATACGTACCAGATCGGATATGCGCTGCTCTCGCTGAGGAAAATCTTGTGTGACGGTAGATTCGATGTCGTCCAGGTCACTCCCTACCTGATCCAGCCGGGCAGATTCTACGCTCACATCTAAATTGAGTCCCCTGGCAAGCTTGGTAAGATGGATCTGAGCTCTCAACATTGTTCTTTTTTGTGCATTCAACAGCTGGGTCAAAGTTGCCCAGTCGAGCGAATCTCGCCATGTATTTTGCGCAAGCTCTTCAAGCCCAAAACATTGATTGTTTTGTCCAGGGCTTTGGTTTCCTGATCACCAGTGTAAGCTGTGTGGCGCATGCCTGCTTAGTGTAAGTACTTACTAAATCCCTGATATGGTCGGAACATTGGTCCACAATATTTTTCCACTCTGAAACAACCTTCTCCCATATCTGGTTAACCAACCGATAAAGAAACATTATTGCAGTGTACTCGGTGTCTTCAGTGGTATTTGAAGAGCTCGATATAGTCCAAAGAGACGGACTGGAAAGCCATGCCTTGAATTCGAGACCATCGCCCTTGGAATGCAACTCGTTGAATAGAACGAGGGTCCGCCGATGCAGGAGCACATTTTGTGACTCCCATCCAGAAGGACAGGTTTTGGAGAGTAATGAGGTAGAGTTGAGTTTAAGCGTGGCGGCAGTGCAGAGACGTCGCCGAACAAGCCACTTCTTGCCCTGTGCGCCACATGAGCCTAGAAGCATCTCATCACATCGAGGCGATACAAACATTTCGAGTATTTAGCTCTTTGAATTCTGTAGAATCCTCATCATGCTGGATTTTCCTCGTACAAATAACAAGCCAATCGAAACCAAAGTGACAGAGCAGACGATTTAAAAATGGTCAGCTTCTGGCTCGGATAGAGAAACGCATCTACTCACTATGTCCAAGCAGCACCGAAAGATCTGAAGTCGCGCCTACACCAGTGTATGTGAAATCAAATTGTTGCAGTGAGTCAGGATGGTCCGCTCGATGAAGAAACATCTGAAATTTCATTAATGACTTGTTCTCGTGCATGTTCTCAAGAACTGTTCCTGGGTCAGCCACTCCCTTGACGATTTTTCTGCAAAGATAGCTGCGCGCAAAAGGCCAGTTATTCTCGTAACTACATGGTCAGTTCCGACCACCAACTTCGAGTTTTCTGGAAACCGCTAGGAAAGCACGCTATCTAGGAGAACCGACCACGAGGAATCGACTAACAGCACTTTCAACACCTGCAGCTAAGGCGCTAGCGCGCAGTAGGGAGAAGAAGGAGTCCTTCTTTCGTTATCTCACGCCTGTGAGAATTTTCTTATAGAGCTTGGGCTCTAATGCTAAGACTAGAGGGGCTAATAGGAACGCAGGAGCTTATTAAAGCTCAAATTTAGCAAGAAACACAGACATATTAAAATAATAAAAATAACAAAAAAAGACTCGCCTTAAAGGACCTTAGAGGCACAAGCAAACGACTAATGGATAATAATCTAGAAATCGAGATGGCTGAGGAGGCCTCTACGCCGTGCCCTAACAGGCAACCAGAAGAACCGCCTAGGCCTACCCATACTAGGACAAGAAGCAATTTTTCTCCATTTATTGGAGCAGTGCCAAGATACCCTACAGTAGGGAAAACACCAAAGGCAACCTCTATTAAGGAGGCCTTAGAGATTGCTAGAAACCTAGTAATCCAAGCAGCTAACCTAGCTGAGAACAACCCTACTAGGCAAACTAGTTTACTAGACTTTGTAGAAGTCTTTAGAGACTTTATAGAGAACAGTAGAGTAAACAAAAAAAACTCTATAATTCTAGAAGACTAAATCTCCTCTCTATCTAACGTCTCTAAAGAACTAAGAGAGAAAGTTAGACGCCTTGAAAAACCAAATACCCCGCCCACCTAACCTCAAGCTCAGCCCCCTAGCTCCTACGCAACAGTAGCAGCTAGTAATTAAGAACAACTTTGGA